CTCGATCCTCCGGCGGTGCCGCGTGTCTCCGCTCTCTCTCTCTCTCTCTTTCTTTCTCTCGCCGAGCTAGAATCGCTTAAGTGAAATAACGAAAAAACTTTAGCGTAAACTGCCGCTCTTAATTTGACCAGTTTGTTCAGGTCGGGGCCACCCGGCCATCGGGGTTCATGGGGCTAAACGTTTTCGTTCGTTTCCGGAAAAACTTGGGAATTATGAATTAGGCGGGAAGTCGGCAGGAAGGTAATGCATTTATTCCAGGCTGGACTTATTATGAAATTATAATGCGAAAGACAACTTGGAGCGAAGGAGGGAGGCGCTACCCTTTTGCCACGTTGAATTAAGTGGCATCGTCGTTCGTCGTAATTCAAATTAATTTGAATTTCTCCCTCCCCCGTTGCGATATCTCAAGTTCGTCTCGTTGATGTCGCCCGCGCTTTCTGACGCCAGGAAGTGAAACTCTTCAGCTTCTTGGAGGCCAAGGGACTGACTCTTGCCACTCGGAACACGTCGATTGGTGTACATTTTGCCACGTGAATTGCAAGAGATAAATTTCATTTTTACGTGTCTCAGTTCTTCAAAAGTTGATCGGTCAGTTCTTGCCTCGTGCCAAAGTTTCGAACTGTCATACAGAGAAAGCGGGCGCGGACTTGCGACTTGCCATTCGCGACTGTAAGAAGAATCGGACGAAACGAGCGAGCGGTATTGAAAGAAGAGAAGAGAAGTGGAGGATCGCGAGGCATAATCTCGAGGCCTCGTGGCTAATTGCGCGAAAGATTAGACAGGAGAAGGAGAAGACGCGAGAGTAAGTGACAGAGGCGGCGGCGACGACGCGGAGGGTGATGTTACACGAGGCAGTAGTCTCGGTGGCATGTGTCGTTGATGAGGCGGTTAGTATTCAGCGGTGCTTTCCGGGCCTGGAACTTTTGAAAACTAACCGAGTAAAGCCACCTTAATTCCATAAGAGGGAGGCCAAAGGGGTTCGGGCGTCATCGTAACACCCTCTTAATTACAGGATATTAGGACGCCCACAGGAGCCACGGAGGTGCAGGAAGCCAGATAGTGCGATTTATTATTCGCGGTCTACCTTATCTCGCTTTTTAGCAGCCGGATTTCTTCCTCTGTGAACGTCTCTCTCTCTCTCTCTCTCTCTCTCTCTC